TTTACTAGGTTCCCTTTGAAGAAGCTGTTGCATCCATACCTGGTGTGTGCAGGAAGGTTGCGTACCTAGAAAAAACGTTAGCACAGAATCTGACGAATTTCGTAGGATAATTGTATGTAACAGTCAGTCGGACAAGTGTTACGCAGCCCAATGACATGACTAGATGTCCCAAAGACCGCATTTTCTCAGAAGGGAGCAGGTGCCACGATCAAATGAAGTACGAAGTCATGCCTTCCTTTTGTTCTGGATATGGTATCTGTATACGAAACAGGGCATTCCACTCCTCAATCAGTGCATTTGACAATTGCTGGATCGTCATTGGTGCATTTGGTCGTGCTGCAATGCGTCTACCCAGTGCATCCCACACGTGCTCGATGGGATTTAAGTCGGGGGAACGAGCGGGCCACTCCATTCGCCGGATCAACATGATGCCTCCCCATACCATAACACCTCGACCACCAGTACGATCACGTTCGACAATGTTTCCGGGGGAGTTGCGTGTTCCCACCTCTCGCCATATGAGGGTGCGTCCAGAATCACTGCTCAGACTGAACCTGCTCTCATCCGAAAAGAGCACACGGCTCCATTCCTCATCGGTCCATTCGCCATGCTCCTGGCACCACCGTAAACGGTCTCGCCGATGTCAAAGGAACACAACGTAACGGTCGTCGGGCGAAGAGACCACCACCATGCAGTCGTCTTGCCACTGTAGTGCGTGAGATGGCTTGCCCTAGAGTCCTGTTAAACGTCGTTGCAATAGCCGAAGCCGACTGACGAGGATCTCTTCTTGCCTGCTGCACAATGTAGCGGTCGTCCCTTGGTGTAGTTGTCCTTGGTCGGCCACCTCCTCGTCTTCGGGCAGCAGTACCAAAGGTTCGGAACGCTCTCCATGCACGTGAAACAACGCTGTGAGCGATACCGAACTCCTGGGCTACACTCGTCATGGTTCGACCTTCTTCGAGTTTCCCTATGATCCTTCCTCGAGTGAAGTCATCCAGATGCTCTCTTGGACATGATGTATCGAAGGATACTACCACAGTTCTTTGCAGCTACTCGTTGATTGAGAAAAAAATTTTTTTCATACCCATAGACTGCCTCGATTTGCGCGGTCGGCCATATTTGGCACTTTATTCAAGCTCTTCTTCCACCGAGAAAAGTCTAGCTTCCTGTGCATATCCCTTAGGCGAGTGGCAACATGCTCCCACACTTTCATTTACTTCCACCCAGTCATTAGTGTTTTTACTTTATCCATCTCGTCCCTGAGTTTTGCACACCAGTGTATGTGGGCAAGCACAGCTGTAGTTCAAGGTATTCCAAGTGACTGCGCCCAAATGTGAAATTTCTCTGATGAACTAGCGTCCCAGTGCAAGTTTTTTTTCGGACGGTAACTGCTTACCGAGAATGGACCTGATCCATGGCAGCATATTCGGAACTGAGACAAAATCGTCATCTGGTACATCTTAAAAACAAGTTCAAAATGAAAAAGAAACGGTTGGCTTTTACAGAGTTTTTTCTGGGTTTATGTCATTCAATACAACCTCTATTCATAAGCGGTAATCGGTCAGAAATGTGCAGACAGTTGCGACAAGAATTGCAACGGTGAACGCGCAGCCTGTGCGAAAATGAGCAAAATGAAAAACATTTCCCATTGACCTAGCTTTTATGTATCGTTATTCTCGCTCACTGTTGCAAATACGCTAAAAAGTTTCAAAGTGGCGGGAGTGGGGAGAGGAGGGCGAAAAAGTTCTCAGACTCTCGGTGAACCGTAGGACCAGCACCTGGACCAAAAACTAATCTGCCCAATCTATCACCCCTCTTTTTTTTACCGCGACTCCACGGAAAGGTCCACACGGCGCGCACGCCTCGCGTGGTGGCGTTCACCTCAGTGGTAGCGCGGCATTGCGGAAACAAAGGTCAGCACAAGAGAGCTGAGGGACAGGATCTGGGAAAATACGCTCTTCACAAAAGAAAACCTAATCCTACTACGATGTTAGTAGTACGTTATGGCGATACTAACTCAAGGCGAGTATATGTTAACGTCCACTAGAGCGCAGTGAATGAAGCACAGATCGCTGTCCTGTTAGTAGATTGCTGATCCTTCGCCATCATCGGCGCTCATGATTTTCTTCCCTCTACCCTTCCCGTTATCGCTATCACGAGAACATCCAAAATTTAACTTGAATTCTGCACGAACAGGTAGCATGTTGCCTCAAGAACAACTGGATTGTATTATATTTCGACCAACCTCTCCACTCTTCTTCTTCTTCTTCTTCTTCTTCTTCTTCTTCTTCTTCTTCTTCTTCTTCTTCTTCTTCTTCTTTTCTTCTTCTTCTTCTTCTTCTTCTTCTTCTTCTTCTTCTTCTTCTTCTTCTTCTTCTTCTTCTTCTTCTTCTTCTTCTTCTTCTTCTTCTTTTCTTCTTCTTCTTTTCTTCTTCTTCTTCTTCTTTTCTTCTTCTTCTTCTCTTCTTCTTCTTCTTCTTCTTCTTCTTCTTCTTCTTCTTCTTCTTTTCTTCTTCTTCTTCTTCTTCTTCTTCTTCTTCTTCTTCTTCTTCTTCTTCTTCTTCTTCTTCTTCTCTTCTTCTTCTCTTCTTCTTCTTCTTCTTCTTCTTCTTCTTCTTCTTCTTCTTCTTCTTCTTCTTCTTCTTCTTCTTCTTCTTCTTCTTCTTCTTCTTCTTCTTCTTCTTCTTCTTCTTCTTCTTCTTCTTCTTCTTCTTCTTCTTCTTCTTCTTCTTCTTCTTCTTCTTCTTCTTCTTCTTCTTCTTCTTCTTCTTCTTCTTCTTCTTCTTCTTCTTCTTCTTCTTCTTCTTCTTCTTTCTTCTCCTAGACTTACTGTTCTTCTTCTTCTTCTTCTTCGCTCTTCCTTCTTCTTCTTCTTATTTCTTATTCTTGTTCTTGTTCTTAGTTCTTGCATGTGTTACGCTGTTCTCGCTAAGCGTCACCACATTCTCCTACCCAATGTCTTCGGCAGTGACGTTGACTTGGAAGTGGTCTTCACATTATCTTCACTACTTCCTTGCAGCATTTATTTGAGCCTCCTTCCGCTTGCCTGGCGTTCCCCAGATCCATCCTGCTTTCATCAGGTTGCTAAGATATCCTTAGCGCTTCATCTTATCGCTGCTCTTGCTCTCCTGTCTGCCATTTGTCCAGGAGTCGTATGCAAAACCGCTTTAACTTTTCCGTTCCTGGCGGAAGCACGTCGTACTTTGGGGATACCCGGCGAGATTATTCATATTTGGTGGCTTGAGGAGACAAGGAAGTCGTATTCACCTTCGAGGAAGATGTTTTCAACTGTTCTCGACTTCGCTCACCTCTGGTATTCCAAAAGTGTCCTGTGCTGAGGTTTCCAGTTCTCCTCAGACCTTTGCCGTTTTGAGAGATAACCTTCTGACGGATGCGTGGCTTGTTTCTGTTTGCGTTCCTCTGCTGCTGACTAACTCTGAATTTGTCTTCGCGAGGAAAGCATCACAGACCTAAACGACGGTTGCCGGGTTAAGAGCACTCACTTCCTCGGTATCCCTCACTCATATTCTCTATCTCAGCACAATCTTCTATCACTACAGATGCCACCAATCATCGGTCACAACGAGTCGATCACCCTTGAAAGTCGACTTCACGGCCCCCGCAAGTACTCGCAAGGGAATGGTTTGAACTTCCCATGGAACTTAGAATGGAGACCTCATCGGTATAGCCTCGAATGCTGATTACGATTATGCAGATTAAAAGTGCTACGGGGACCTCACAGACGAGTTCTGGGCTGTTAAAGTGCGCGAAAACTCGCTCTTGGCTCGTAAGCGCTGCTGATCAATCACTGGACAGTGGCATAGTGGCCTAGTGATAGCGGTCTCGCTTTAAAGCCAAATGTATGTGGTTGCATTCCCCCCCACGTTGGCGCGGAAAACTTTTCGCTTTCGCTCCTAATAAAGAGCTTCAACCCTAATATTCAAAAACTCTTCCGAATTACGGCCCAGCAGGGCAAGTAGATCAAGTACATCAAGTATACGACGTACTCGATCTAGTATGGATTTGGTCATATCTGCCCTCTCTGAAAATATTACCCATCAGAATTTAAAGTTTTGCCCAGAATCGCAATTTGGCCAGACGAGAGTTTTTTCGTCAAAAGATGTGATACTCGGGTTCAGGAGGTCGAGATCTCCCATGAACGAGCTTCTCGCTAAGACTTTGAATTGCCGGTTGGGTAACCTATTCAGAGAGGGCAGATGTGACCAAATCCATACTAGATTGAGTATGTCGTATACCTGATGTACTTGATCTACTTGCCGTGCTGGGCCTGGCTAAATTCGGAAGAATTTCGAAAATCAGAGTTGAAGCTCTTATACGGAGCGAAGCAAAAATTTCCGTCAAACGGATGCGAGCCCACATGCGTTTGACTTGAAAGCGAGACCATTACCACGAGGCCACGGTGGCACTGCCGATGCACTGATCAGCAGCGCTTACGAGCCAGAACCCAAACTTACCACCCAGATCTCCGTCTGGGAGGTCCCCGTAGCACTTTTAATCTGCATACTCGTAACGAATCAGCATACGAGGCCCTATCGATGTACCTAGGTCTCCACTCTAATTTCCTTGGAAGTTCAAACCATTCCCTTGTCAGATGACACACGAGCTTCTCAATTTTGTGGCATTCAGATTACTATGCGTACAAGCCAACGTTGTCCAGCACCCCTGCTTCATCACTATCGTGACATCCTCAAAGGAAAAGCCCGGGATTAAGCCCGGGATCACCTATTGAAGGTAAAGGAGCTCCAATAAGGCGTACTAATCTTTTCGTCTTAGGGAGTTCTCGTGCCAACTGCCTTCAACGAATATCAACGCATTGTTCTACTGGCCCTAGGATTTCGTTGACTCACGTCGTACTTTTTTAGAATGTACCAACAGCTGATCAGGCTGATTTCTGAAGAATGGCATTTCGAATCATTAGTGCTCCACATGCTTGATGGAAAGTCGAGGAACTTTATTTCGCGAAAAACCAGTCACATATTTCACACAAAATAGTCACATATTTCGCCAGATGCGTGCTTGCTGTAGGCGAAACATTCTTTGTAGATACAGACGACTTTTACTAGGTTCCCTTTGAAGTAGCTGTTACATCCATACCTGGTTTTAGCAGGAAGTTTGCGTACCTGCAAAAACGAAAAGACCGAATTTAAACAACAGCTGTGGCGTTACGATTCACATTTACAACATCCCGAAGCTATGAAAAATCTCGTTGTGACTAACATTCTCGGTTTGTGATTCGTTTTGCAAACCTTCCTGTAGGGTTTCCCTGATCATCACTGGGACTGATCCACCTCTCGAAAATGTCCTTAACAAGTAGCGTGGCTCTGTGGAATATTCTTTGTATGAGCAGACACTTACTTCTGCGCCCGCCGTGAATTTATTGAGGTGCATTAGAGTCTACAACACCTCTTGCTTCGTTACAGGCGTCACTGGAAAGTCCTGAGTCCCATACCTGGAACAGAATTTCTCTCGAAATTTTATGATTGATTTTACTCATGTGGGTGTTGAGCTTACGTTGGACACGCTCCTGCAAGATTAATCTTGAGCGTGTGACGTGAACAGGAGGTGCGCTCAGAAAAGCGGCCATTCAAAACTCGAAAGTGCGCAGGATCGAGGCAGGAGAGCTGTCACTGCAGTTTGCCGTATAAGACTTGCTTGCTGGCCGCAAAGTGTGGCATGTGTGTCGTTGG